TTTGCCCGGCGCTGGAGGCGTGCTGCTGGAGCTGGAGGTTCTTCGACTGCTGAGGGTGCTGGTGCCGCGGGTCCCGGAGGTGCTCGTACTGGGAGTACTGGAGCTGCTGGGCCTGCGGGTACGCCTGGAGCTGGAGCTGCTGAGGGTGTTGGCGCTGAGGCTCCTGCTGGGGGTGCTACTGGTGCTGCTGGAGGTACTGGAGCTGGAGGTGCTGCTGGCGCTGGTGCTGCCGGTGGGGGTACTGGTGCTGTCCCTGCTGTGTCTGGAGTCGCCGCGCGGCCTCGGCCATACTTCGTTCCGCTCCTTCAGCAGGTTCTTGGTCTCCCGCCTTCTACTGGTCCTCCTCCTCCCTTAGAGTGTCCACAGCCTGTCCCGTCCCAGTTACAGTTACAGCCGGCCTCCACACTGCCCGCTCCTTCTCCCTACACTGGTCCTACTGGAGGTCTGGCTGAGCGTCGTGAGCCTGCGTCTCGCCCTGCGTCGCCTGTCCGTCTTGCTCGCACTAGTGGCCGTGGTTCGCGTCAGCGTCCTCCTCCTGTCCCTGGCACGCACCGGATGTCTGTGCGTCCGTCCACTGCTCCTCTGCGTGCCCCTTTGCCTTCTCCTCCTGAGTCCTCTCTTCCTGCTCTTCCCGACCCGGAGTCGGACTCTCTTCGTGCTGCCAGTCCTACTGTCACGCGTCTCCTTGCTACTGTCGTCACTGACCCTTCCTTTGAGTCCACTGCTGCGTCTGCCCTAGTTGCTGAGCTCGTCGACTTTGCTGCTCGCTGTCGTCTAGACTACGTTGCTAGTCTTGTCGTTGAGTCTGAGTCTGTCTGTCCTCCGTCCGTCGGGGGTGAGTGTGCCCTTGGCACGGACGTCCTAGAGGACAGGCAGGAGGAGTTCCAGTGTTTGGCTGCTGCTTCACCTCATCTCGTGTCCGTACTGCTTACCCCTGAGGGAGACCCGGATGCACTTGACATCCCGACTCCGCGCTCTTACGCGGAGGCGATAGAGGGTCCCTACTCCTCTCAGTGGCAGGCAGCTATGGACACAGAGATGGCTTCCTGGAAGTCCACAGGCACCTACGTTGACGAGGTTCCCCCGCCTGGGGCGAACATCGTCAGTGGCATGTGGATTTTCAGGGTGAAGCGACCGCCGGGTTCTCCGCCTGTCTTCAAGGCGCGTTACGTGGCTCGTGGCTTCAGTCAGCGGCAGGGAGTTGACTACTTTCAGACCTTCTCTCCCACCCCGAAGATGACCACTCTTCGGGTACTGCTGCACATAGCTGCTCACCGCGACTACGAGCTGCACTCTCTTGACTTCAGCACTGCTTTCTTGCAGGGCAGCCTGCACGAGGAGATCTGGCTGCGTCGCCCACCTGGCTTCACTGGGTCTTTTCCTCCTGGCACCCAGTGGAGCCTCCGGCGGCCAGTCTACGGTCTCCGCCAGGCACCGCGTGAGTGGCACGACACACTGAGGACTACACTTGCGGCTCTTGGGTTTGCTCCCTCTACTGCTGACCCGTCGCTGTTTCTGCGCACCGACACTTCTTTGCCGCCGTTCTACATCCTCGTGTACGTCGACGACTTGGTCTTTGCCCCAGCTGACACTGCTGGACTCGCCCACGTGAAGTCCGAGCTGCAGAAGAGACACACGTGCACAGACCTGGGTGAACTGCGCAGCTACCTTGGCTTGCAGATCACCCGGGACAGAGCACGCCGCACCATTACCCTGACTCAGTCACACATGGTGCAGCAGGTCCTTCAGCGCTTCGGCTTCACGTACTCCTCGCCTCAGGCCACTCCTCTGCCTACTCGCCACTCGCTCTCAGCTCGGCCTTCGGATGAGTCCGTAGAGTCGAGTGGCCCGTACCCAGAGCTTGTTGGCTGCCTCATGTACCTGATGACCTGCACACGACCTGACCTCGCATACCCTCTTAGCATTCTCGCATGCTATGTTGCTCCTGGGAGACACAGACCGGAGCACATGGCTGCAGCGAAGAGGGTGTTGCGTTACTTGTGCAGTACGTCGGGCATGGGGCTTGTGCTTGGAGGGCAGAGTCCAGTGGTCCTCACTGGGCACGCAGACGCTTCTTGGGCTGACGACCAGGCTACGCAGCGGTCGTCACAGGGTTACACCTTCAGCCTTGGTTCCGGCTCTGTTTCGTGGCGGGCTACCCGCTCGTCTTCTGTTCTCGGCTCCAGTTGTGAGGCTGAGATCTACGCCGGGGCCATGGGTGCACAGGAGCTTCGCTGGCTCACCTACCTGCTGACTGACCTCGGAGAGCCGCCTCGTTCTCCTCCAGTGCTGTACGTAGACAACAAGGCCATGCTGGCCTTGTGTCGAGAGCAGAGACTGGAGCACAGAACGAAGCACATTGCTCTCCGCTACTTCCTTGCTCGTGAGCTACAGCAGCGTGGTCAGCTGCGGCTTGCGTACGTGGCCTCTCAGGCCAACACTGCTGATATCTTCACCAAGGCACTTGCGCCTTGTGATCATCAGCGCTTCTGTACTCAGCTGGGTCTTGTGCCTACCTTGCCTCACTTGCTCACCCCTTGACCTTGTTTGTACTGTTGCATATATATATACACCTGCTCTTGCTTGTCTAGCCTTATATATATATGTAATCCTGCATGTGAACTGGCCTTGTGGCCTTGACCTTGTGCTCGGAATGTGTGGTGACTTTGTGATCCACCCTGAGCTTGCTTTGCTTTGCTTGACTGGTCTTGTGACCCCTTGTTCTCCCCCACTTTGCCTATGGGGGTGTGTCAGATTTATATGACATAGCTACTGTAGGCTATAGTGGGGTAGCACATATGGGGTACAGTTTTCTAGGGTTTACATTTGTACCCAACTTTCCCTTAGTCATTTTTCATTCCTCGTTTCTTCTCAGCTGACTCGCTACAGGGACATCCGGTTGTGGATGCTTACCTGGCCCGCCGAGGTGTCTCGGATACCCACCACCTTTCTTAAAGGGGGGGGTAGTGTAAGGAATTTTCTCGGATTCCTTACTGGGTCACACTGTACGCGTACAACCCCGGTTTTCGGAAAACCAGGCTCGGTCCGCCGACCTCGCCTCCGAGCCACCATCGCGTCGCCTTCGGGTTTTCCAACCCCGAACCTGCACCCAACCATCTCGCGACCCCGCGACTACGGCCTAGCTAGGACTGCTATATTAGTGCTAGGCCTCGCCGTTTACTCAGACGTTGTAATCACTTCCGCGTTATTGGATTATGCGCACTCTTCTCTTTCACAACTCATATTAGGGAAAATATGCCACACGTAACGAACATGGGACCTGATAACGTGAATGGTAAAAAAAAATGCGTACGGTCACTGTATCGGGTTTCCTGACGGGTTTGGTAAGTGGGGTCACGGATTCAGTCACTAACAACAGGTAAAAAATCACGCGAATGGTCACACTTGTAACTCCCGCCAAAAAGTCTTGAAACTCGGCAATATTCCCGCTCGCGTCCAACCAATCAACAAACTTCTGAAAAAAAACTAAAACCCAATCGGAATTGGATGCGGTTTGGGAACGGATCAACCCTAAACACCTGGCGAATTGTGTTTAGGGTTGATTCATCCGAAAATGCATCCAGGTTCGTTTTGGGTATTATCTTTTTTGGGCGGGAGTTTCATCTGTGACCACTCGCGTTATCAAACGCGTGAAAACACCCTGTCCAGTGACTGTACCCGTTTTGTTTTTACCCAACAAAGTTATACGTGCGGCATATTTTCCCCTCGTAACATCCCGCCCAGGCGATACTAGCAACTTGCAGTCGAGTTTTGTGATTCGAAATTTCTGTCAGTGTTGGAATCGTAAAACGTTACCATCTGTCAGTGTGGTGTGGTTTCAACACCATCAAGCTCGCTGAAATGCCCGCGCGGACGCTGCTCACGTGGGGTTTGTGTCCGGCGCGTCGAAGCGGATTGAACAGCTGGTGAGCCGCAGCCCTCGCGATACCAGCGGTGGCGCAAAGCGCAGCTCGCGGCGTCCGCTGGGGCAGCAGCGAGGCGCAGCAATCTCCATGCGCAGCGGCGCACGAGCACGGGCGCGGAGGAAACAGCAGCCGTTGAGGAAGCAGACCAGCATACGTAGGGCAAATCTTCACATCTTCGCAACTTCGCATCTGCGAATCTTCGAATCTTCGCATCCGCGCATCTTCGCATCCGCGCATCTTCGCATCCGCGCATCTTAAACAGCTGCCGCCAGTGACGGTTATTATTGGATACCCGCGCCACCTAAAGCGCTCACCGCGGTTAGTCCAGCAGCCACAGCTGCAGACGAGGAGGCTAAGAGCGAAGGCGTCGACGACGGCGGGCATGGCGGGGCGAGGGGCAGGCGCAGGAGCGGGAGCAAGGGGGACAGGGGGGACAGGGGGGGCGGCGGGGATGGGGGGAACGGGGGGAACGGGGGGAGCGGGCATTAACATAGCGGCGGCGACGGCGGCAGTGGAGGTGGATAACAACCTGCCCGTCACGCGCTACTTCCGCCTCGCACACAACCTCAAACGCGCGGTCTGTCGCTCGCCCCCTCGCTTCTTGCAATCCCCTCCCCTCCCATCCCCTTCCACTCGTCCTCGTCTCTACTTCCCCTTCCCCTCTTCTGCCTTTTTTTCCCCTCTCCTTCTTCCCCTTTTCCCTTCTCATCCCCCTTCTCCTCTCCCCGCTTATCCACGCCTCTTTTCCTTCCTCTCAACCCGCTTCCGTTTCGTTAACTCACCTGCCGGCTGCTCTGTTCTCCCCCGTCCTCTTCTGCTTCCTTGTCACCCCTGCTTTCCGTATTCTTCTCTCCTCTCCGTCTCACCTCCTCACGCGTCGTGGCCTCACTCCGCTCTCCCGCCCTTTCTTGCTCTCTCGTGCCCTCCCCTGCCCTCTCCTGCCCTCCCCTGCCCTCTCCTGACCTCTCCTGCCCTCTCCTGCCCTCTCCTGCCCTCTCCTGCCCTCTCCTGCCCTCTCCTGCCCTCGCCTGCACCATCGAGCCCTGTGTGTGCCTGTGCACCGGCCACCCCCAGGCAGACGTGTATCGCTGCGAGGGAAACACGGTGCAGCTCTATGTCTTCCTCCTGCGATTCGTCAGGTGCGATGCGTCACGTGCATGCATGGCACCAGCTCGCACTGCACTGCACTGCACTGCACTGCACTTTGACAGCGCACTCACATAGCTTGTACAACCACGTCTGCGCCTTCCCTTGCTCTGCTGCGCGCCCTGCTGCTGTGCGCCCACCAGGCTTCCTTCCTTAATGCCATCCTTCCGCTACCTGCTCTTCCTCGGCCCCACACCACACCATGCACCTCATGTTGCCTCTCAACTGCACTCCCCCCTCTTCAACTTCCCCTCTCCCTTGCCCTGCCCCCCCACCATGGCAGCATGGTGCTGTCAACCATGCCGCAGCATCGCGACGCCAGGGCGTCCCAGCATGCCAAAGAGATTGCCACGCTCAACAAGGTCGCCCTGCTGCTCTCCTCTCCTCTCCTCTCCCCTTTGCTGCTCTCCTACTCCCTTCCCCTTCCTCTTCCTTTTCTTACATGCGCTCCTGTCTCCACCACTCGTGTTTGTTCCCATGCTGCGGCGCGCATGCCTTATCCCTCACCGTACTCGGCTCCTCCTTGCTCCAGTCTGCTCCTGCCCTGCCCACACCCAACAAATCCCAGCCTACTCTGCTGTGCCACCTCTCTCCCATCTTCTCTCGTCAACTATCCTCCCCTCTCCCCGGTCCCAACCCTCCCCCCCCCCCCCTCCCCCCCCTCTCTCAATCCCCTTTCTATCCCCTCTTGTCTCCCCCCTCTTTCCCCCTCCCCTTCCTTCGTGCACCCCTGTCCCTCGGGCAGCAAGCGATGGCAGCACTGGTGGAGTGCGAGCAGCTGAAGCCACAGGTGTCACGCCTGCTGCAAGCGGGCAGGGGCGGCCAAGACGACGACGACGACGCACAGTCCGACGCGGACAGGGACGCGGCTGTGCGCGCAGCAGCGGAGGAGGGCGCTGTGCCTGTCTACTACCCCGCCTCGTCTTCCACGGGCCTGCCCTCTGCTGCTCCGTCCCAAGCAGCCGTGGCAGCAGCCGCCACGGCTGACTTGTTTGCTGGAGCGTGGTGGACTGGCGGGGGAGCAGCAGCAGGAGCAGGAGTAGCGGCAGCAGCAGTGGACCCCATGGAGGCGTGGAGCCAGTCCGTGGTGAGTGCGATTCTCTACTCCGGCCGAATCGCACTGAGGCTCTCACAAATCGATTGTGTGGTGCGCAGCGCACACGTGCATGCGCGCACACACACAGACACATGCCGGGCGGGCGGCCAAGAATATGTCTTTCTGGTTGGGAAAAGCTTTGCCATTGTTCACCTCACAGCCCACTCACACCGCCTCACTTCCTATGCCGCATATTTTGCGACACAATATACCTTCCTTCCCCCTTCCTTCAACCCCTGTGCCCCCATCGTCCCCTCTCTTCCTCCGTACACCCCGCTCCCTCCACATTCCATGCAGGGCCTGTCTGCATCGGAGCAGCAGCGCCTGCTCACAGCCCCCACCCCCTCCGCACCCCCCCTGGACCTGGACCTGCTCTCTGGTGTCTCCTCGCTCTCTCTCGCCCCTCAACGCTCCACCTACTCCCTCGTTCCTTATTCCGCCGCTCCTTATTCCCCTGCTACTTATTCTCCCGCTCCTTATTCCGCCGCTTCCTCCGCCACTCAGCATGGCAGGTAGGTCGCCTTCGTTTCTCTCTCATTCGCGTGCTTCTATATGGTTCGCTGCACCTGCCGTTGCTGCACCTGCTGCTCTTGGTATTGCTGCTGCTGCTGCTTCCTCCGCTGCCATTCACTTCCATGTCACAGCACCCATATGACCTGCACCCATGACCCTGCACCCATGACCCTGCACCCATGACCCTGCACCCATGACCCTGCACCCATGCTGCTCTATCTACCCTTGCCCATCTCATGAACCTGTCCGTTCTTTCTCCCCTCTACCCGTCGCGCTCTGCCCGTTGCTCTCTGCCCGTTGCCCTCTGCCCGTTGCCCTCTGCCCCGGGTGCATGTGCAGCCAGCAGCACTACAGTCTACCAGCGCCTCGCACAGAGACCCTCTCACGCCACTCCCTCGTCTCCATGCCCGCACCCCATGTGCCCTCGCACCTGCCATCGCAGCCCCACCAATACCACCACGCGCCATCCTCGCATGTACAGTTTTCCACATCCTTTCTTGATCACATCTCGGATGCCACTCGCTGCTTACCATGCGATGTGCCACCCATGGGCCCACCCTCTTCGTCTTATTTCCAACACAATCCAGTACTTCCACTTTCTGCCCTGTCCCCTCACCTCGTCTCCCCTCCACTCCACTCCACCATCTCCCCGTGCCCATGTACTCTCTCTCGCTGCGTGCATGCAGGTGGCCTATCCCACCCACATCGACTCATCGCCCATTCAGCTGCCAGAGTACGTACGAGCCACTGCCCTCTATCTAGTATCTACCCAGTTCTCGCATGTACCCCATTGCCCCATCGCCCCACCCACCGCTTTCCTCGCGCCTTCCAGCCTCCTGCTTCCTGTACTTCACTCACTCCAATATCGCTTTCAACCCAACTCCCCCCCCACCATGCTCGCCTTGCGCTCCTCTTTCCGCACACTTTTTCTCCACCCACGCATATCCACGCCTAACCGCACACCACCCCTCCTACACCCCGTCCACCGCAGGTGGTTACCACCTGTCACCTCCCAACAATCAGAGCAGCAGCAGAAGGCAGGTGAGGAGGGCGGAAGCAGCAGCAGCAGCGGTGGTGGGTATGACGGGCAGCAGATGGTGACTCTCATCATGCCCTCCGTTGCTGCTTCCACCGCTCCCTCTTCCGCATCTCTCCCCACAGCGTCTCCCATTCAGCCGCGCAGCATTCTCAAGCACGGCACTGCGTACCGTGCCGAGCAGGCAGCTGCACAGGCCGCCTCTGCTGCTGCAGCGGCCGCAGGGGGAGGAGGGGCATACGGTGGGCAATACGGAGGGCAGTACGGTGGGCAGTACGGGGGGGAATACGGAGGGGCAGCAGGGGCGGTGAGCCAGGCAGCAACAGGAGGATATGGGTATGAGGGTGCTGGGAACATGGGTCTGCCTGTGGCGGCGCCCCTGCACCAGCCGTACCCCCCTCCCATGGAGGCCCCCTTGCAAGTGCTGCCGCAGTTGCACCCGCCCCTTGCCATCCAACAAGCACCAGCGCACGGGCATGGGCATGGGCATGGGGGGCAGATGGAGCAGCGGCAGCCGCACCCGTCTGATGTGGCGGATCCCAGGCCTGGGAAGGGCGGAGGGAAAAAGGGCATCAAGGGAGTGCACATTGTGAGTCGCACACCCACCTCGTGCCACCCACCTCGTGCCACTCACCTCGTGCCACCCACCTCATGCCACTCGTGACACACCCATTTCACTCGTTCCATCAGTCGCCTGCCGCCGTAGCATGGCAAGCATTCTGTGGGGCTGTAAGTCCGAGCTCAGTGGGAGTGGACCGCGTCTGTCACCTTGTTTTAGGTATCACGGCACACTGGCATCACGTTGAGTTAGATCAACACAACAGCGAAGAGCGTGTGCCGGCCACCAGCTGCTTTGATTCAGGTCAACCTCATTGCATCTCTGCTGACCTCATCCCTTCCACCTCCTCCTCCACGTCCTCCCACGCTCTCCCCCTCTCCTCCAACTTCCCCCGACTCCGCGCATGATGGACGATTTCATGCGCAAAGTGCGCCACAACACCTCCTCGCCTCATCCCCCCCGTGTATGCCCACCCCCTCTCTCCCTTCCCCCTCCCCTCCCCTCCCCTCGCCTCCCCTCCCCTCCCTACATGCCACTATGATGCGGCGGTCATTGCCAGTGCTACAATCTCATTAAACAAGTAATTGGGAAATTGCTTCCCTCTCGATGGATAAGATTCGGTTTGCTCTTGTGGCCATGGGTGCCTTGGCGCCTTCACTTTCTTTGCTATAAATCCACGTACTATGAGATAACCTCCTCACCACCAAGTGTCATGGGTTCCCAGCACAATCCTAACGAGCTGATGGGTGATGAGGAGGTTGACCCTCGTTCCGGTGGAATCCTTTCTTCGCCGAGGAAGCGGTCATGCATGTGGTCTCAGCACCTCCCCCTGCCAAGCGAGTCAGTGCTGCCGCGGCATCCAGCTCGACGCCTATGGCTCCCCCTGCGGCCCCGGTGGTGCCGCCTGTCGCTCCGGTGATTGTTCCCGTGGCCGGTCCTTCTATGGCAGCTCCACCACCTTTAACGTCTACCCAGGAAGTAAACCCTGCTCCTTCCCTCGCTATCACCGGTTGGTACTTGCGTCTTCGTCGCAATCGTGACACTGTGGGAGTCGTTGTCGCGGCACTGGTTCGTGACACTGAAGCTGTTGTCATCATCATGTTCCTTGAATCCTTGGGCGGCCATTGCCAAGGTGGCGGAGCTTCCATAGAAGGACCGGCCACGAGAGCCATTACCGGATCGACAGGCGGCACCACCGGGGCCGCAGGGGGAGCCATAGGCGTCGAGATGGATGCCGGGGCAGCACAGACTCGCTTGGCAGGGGGAGGAGCTGAGACCACAGGCGTGACCGCTTCCTCGGCGAAGAAGGATTCCACCGGAACGAGGGTCAAGCTCCTTATCACCCATCAGCTCGTCAGGATTGCGCTGAGAACCCATGACGCTTGGTGGTGAGGAGGTTATCTCATAGTACGTGGATTTATAGCAAAGAAAAGGAATGCGCCAAGGCACCCATGGCCACAAGAGCAAACTGAATCGCATTCATCAAGAAGAAATCAATTTGCCCTCCCCTCCCTCCCCTTGCAGTCAACGCGCATGAGGGACGATATTATGCGCATAGTGCGCCACAACACTTCCTCCCCCCATCCCCTCCGTGTATGCCCAACCCCCTCCCTCCCCTCCCCCTCTCCTCCCCCCATTCCCCCATGCGGGCAGTCAACGCGCATGATGGACGATTTCATGCGCATAGTGCGCCACAACACCTCCCGCAACCTCGAGACCTGCGCCGTGCTCGGAGGCGTGCTTGTACGCCTGCCCCTCCCCGCCCCCTCCCTCCTCGCATCTTCTCTTCTCCTTCCCTCTCTCCCTGTCGCACTGCTCTGCTCTCCAATCCAATCTCTCTTCTGCTCTCGCTCCACCTCGTCATCTTTGCATGTGCCAGCATGCGTCCTTTTCCCCATGGCTTACAGCATTGTTCGCATCGCTGCCCGCATCACCACTTGGCCCCTGCCCGCGTGGGTGCCTTGGTTGCGTGCCTTGGTTGCGTGCCTTGGTTGCTCTTTGCGCATGCTTGCCTGTGGGACTTTGGCATGTAGACGACGCATGCATTCTCCTTTGCGCATACGTCTTGTTTTTTTGGGGAAAGGGAGGGTGTTCTTTCTTGCACACCTGCACTTACTGCACCGGCCTGCAACCACATGCCCGTGCATGCGTACTTATAACCATAACCATGCGTGCATGCATCCAAGCAACCCCTTCTCCTTCCCCTCCCTTTCCCTTTCCCCCCCCGCATGCAGAAGAAGGGCCTGTTTTTCATCAAGGCGCTCATCCTGCCCAAGCAGGAGTCCACCTCTGACTCCGTGCGTGCCCCTCCCTCCCTCTCGCCGCCTCCCCCTCCCTCCCTCTCGCCGCCTCCCCCTCCCACCCAGCCTCCTGCCCTCCCTCCCTCCCTCCCTCCCTCCCTCCCTCCCTCCCTCCCTCCCTCCCTCCCTCCCTCCCTCCCTCCCTCCCTCCCTCCCTCCCTCCCTCCCTCCCTCCCTCCCTCCCTCCCTCCCTCCCTCCCTCCCTCCCTCCCTCCCTCCCCTCCTCCCACGCCTATGCTTTTTATCTCTTCCCCCGCACGTTGCATTCTCGTCCAATGCCCCACTTCCCTGCTATGCCCGTTCACACTCGTTCAATTTCACGCACGTCACCCTCTCATCTCTTCCCCTGCCATCCTCTCATTCGCAATTCCTTCCCCTGGCCTTCTCATCTTCCCCTTCACCGGCGCGCCTGCCGGGGCAGTGTTCCACGTTGAACGAGGAGGAGATATTTGAGGCGCAGGACAAGCGAGGGCTCTTCCAGCTCGGCTGGATCCATGTCAGTGCCGCCGCCGCCGCTGCTTCTCGCCTTGCTCCACCACCATCCCCTTGCTCTATTCCCTGTTCCTCTCACTTATTCCCTGTTCCTCTCACTTATTCCCTGTTCCTCTCACTTTCCCCTCCCTCTTCCGCTCTCGTTCCTTCCATCTCCCCACCTCCGTCACTCTGCCACACCTTCGTTAATACATCCCATGTCTGCTCCCACAATATACTTCCCGCCCCTGCCTCACATCAGACGCACCCCTCACAGGCGTGTTTCATGTCATCCATCGACCTGCACACACACTACTCCTACCAGGTCACTCGCCTCTCTGCAAGCGCATGCCACTGCTCTCCTCTTCAAACCCTCCATTCGTTCCTTCATTCTGCTGTGCTTGCAGCGCTTCCATTTTGTTCTTTCCTTGTCGTTCGTCGCAATGTTCCATTTCGTTCCTGCCATACATTGTGATGGATGGTTTATCCCCATTTCCGTCCGATCCTGCCACCCACCTTTTTCCAGATGACACTCCTCTCAGCTTGACCTATCACCCCCTCCACTCCTCCCCTCGCCCTCTCCCCTCATATCTCTACTCGCCTGTCCTCTCTCCTGCCCTTCCACCCCCCCCCCCCCCCCCCCCCCCCCCCCCCCCCCCCCCCTCCTCTCTGCTCTACATCAGGTGATGCTCCCGGAAGCCATTGCCATAGTCATGGCTCCCAAAGACCCATCCCGGTATGCCCTCCCTGCTGCTCTCGCCCACCCCACATCGGCACTAAGCCCGAGAGCCATTGTGTTCTCGCCCCTCCCGCGCTGGCAGGCTTCCATCAGATCACAACAACGCACTTGCACGTGCCTATCCCCGTCTGCCTGTCCAACTAGTCCGCTCTGTCAACTATTCTCTTCCTCTTTCCCACCTTTCTCCCGCATGCTCTCGTCCACTCCTCACCTACACCCACATGTATGGCACCTAACGCCCTGCTGCTGCAGTCGCCCACACCTCTCAAACTCCCAACTCCATCAACCAATCTGCACTCCCATTTCCATTCCTCCCTACCATCCCCTTCTAACGCCCCCATCTTCCCAACCCCTCTCCCCCCACCTCCTCCCCCTTCCACAGCCCATTCGGCATATTCCAGCTGTCGCAGCCAGGGGGAGTGAAGGTGATACAGAACTGCCAGCAGAGGGGCTTCCACACACACGAGGCACCGGCAGATGGCACTCCGCTCTACTCCCACTCCTCCCATGTCTTCTTCAACCCCCGCATTGACTATGAGGTGCTCGACCTGCGCTGACACGCCTGCTCACTGCACTGCACCGCACTGGGCTGCGCCCGACGCGCGCACTGCCCTGCTGCTGCGCCTGCTCACTGTTTCTATGGCTGGTTAGCTGGGGGGTATTTTTGGGGTGTGGGCTGCGACAGCAGCATGCGAGCAGCATGCAAGGGGGCATTCAGTGGGGGGGAGAGCATGGTCTGGGCGGCGGGGAAGGAAGGCCTGCTTGCAGAGGTGGCGCAGTGTGTGAAGGGAGGCAGGCAGTCCGAGTGCAGGGAGGATGGGTAAAGGCTGCGTAGCAATGTGAGCATGAGTGGCGGGACTTTTTAGAGGCTAGAGCATGCTTGGCTTGAGTGGTTGGTCTGATGCATACCAGTTGAAAGTAGCTACTAGGTAGTAGTGTTAATTAATGGACTGGTCGTTGCTGTGTGTAGTTGATTTTACAAAGCATAGACGTTTATTATTTTGCCAACTGAGTGAACACGGTACAAGACGGTTACCACTGAATGCCCCTTACTGGTGCAGTGCAGGCGCCCACCCACCCCTCCTACCGCAGAAGCATCTCCTGCATATCCTCACACCGGTATGTCTCCCCCACCCCCCATCACCCCCCCCCATCCCCCACCCCCCACCCCCCATCCCCCATCCCTCACCCCTCACCGCTCATCTCTCACCCCTTATCACCTGCGTGTCCTCACACCGGTACGTCTCATGCAGGCTATCCCACGCCACCGCCCTCACCCAAACCCGCTCCTGCAGCACCTTGAGGAGGAACTCTGCCAGGGCCTGCCTGCCGGTTGCACCCGTGAGTCATGTGGGCAGAGGAGTGCAGGGAGCACAGCACCGTGACGCCTCACCCAAACCCGCTCTGTCATCTCCTTGAGGAGGAACTCTAGCAGCGCCTGTCGGTTGCACACACCCATGAGCCATGTGGACAGAGGAGTGCAGGGAGCGCAGCACCGTGACGCCCCAGGCTCAACCCCCCAACCCAAACCTTCGCACCCCCAGGCCCCCCTTCTTCCTCCCTCCTACCGCGGTGTGAGGTGCATCACCTGCACGTCCTCATCTCACACCGGTACGTCTCCACGCAACAACCAATCCCCAATGCCGCCGCCTTCCGCATTCCTCATCCTCCACCCCTCCGAGGCCCCCATTATCTCTCCTACCGCGGTGTGAGGAGCATCACCTGCACGTCCTCACACCGGTACGTCTCATCCAGGTCCTCCCACGCCACTGCCTTCACCTGAAACCGCTCCCCCGCCAGCCTGAGGAACTCGGGCAGCGCCTGGCGGTTGCGGCCGTGGGCAAGGAGCACGGAGGAGTGCGGGGCGCAGAGCATGGCAAGCGTGGCCACCAGGGGCGCCACTGCTCCGTGGTCATACACCACGTCTGTTGCCACTATTAGGTCGAACGTTGGCGGGTGAGAGGAGGGATTGGGGGGGGTTGCTGGTGTGGTGGGGGTGGCAGTGGTGGGGGTGGCAGTGGTGGTGTGGAGTAGTGTGTTGGGAGAAATGGGGGATGAATCCGGACAGGAGATGGCCGCATCATGGGATGTGGAGCAGGGAGAGGGGGATGAGGACGAGGCGACAGCAGCAGGTACAGAGAGTGCGAAAGCATCCAGGGTGTTCCCCCAGCGCAGGGTGTGCACGTGCACGGTGTGGTGCAGTGCGTTAGCGTGCACGTTGCGGTGCAGCAGCGGCAGGTTGCCTGGCATGTCCGTCACCACCACTGCCCGTGCTCCCAGCACTGCCAGCGTTATGCCTGGGGGAGGTGGGGGGGGGGGTGGGGTGGGGAGAGGGGAGTTGTAGTGAGGGAAGAGACGGGGTGCGGGGAAAGGGGAAAAGGGATGGGAGGCGGAAGAAGGGTGCGACGTGGCTAATTCAGAAACACCACATGCACAGCCGTCGCAAGGGAGAGTGCGGCAGCAGCCAAGCGCACGCCATGTGTGCACTATGCAGTGCAGGGCAGGGCAGGGCAGTGCAGGGCAGGGCAGGGCAGGGCAGGGCAGGGCAGTGCAGGGCAGGGCAGTGCAGGGCAGGGCAGGGCAGGGCAGTGCAGGGCAGTGCAGGGCAGGGCAGGGCAGGGCAGGGCAGGGCAGGGCAGTGCAGGGCAGGGCAGGGCAGGGCAGGGCAGTGCAGGGCAGTGCAGGGCAGGGCAGGGCAGGGCAGGGCAGGGCAGTGCAGGGCAGTGCAGTGCAGAACGCGTGTGACATACCGAGCAGGCCGCAGCCAGCACCGAGTTCGATGCACGTCTTGCCGTGCACCAGGTGAGCGTGGCGCTCCAGGAACTTGCCCGCCACTATAGAGCTGTCCCACACTGCCGCATGCACGCACAGGGCAGCACGGCACGCACGGGCGCGGGCAGAGGGGCGGGCGAGGGGAGGGCAGGGGGGAGGGCAGGTGAGCGTGGCGCTCCAGGAACTTGCCCACCACTATAGAGCTGTCCCACACTGCCGCAGCCGCATGCACATGGGGCAGAAGGATCTGGCACGGCGGAGAGCAACGGGGTTGGGTAGGCGGGCGGGCAGGAGGGCGGGCAGGGGACGCCGGTAGGGGAGACGGGCAGGGGACAGAAACGGTGAGGGAAGAGAGGAGGTGCAGGGGAGAATCTGCACAGGTGGGGAGGGGACATGCAAACTCGCCTTTGCTCACCAATTGTCCCCTTCCCAGCAATGTTCTACACACGACCTTCTCCCAACATCTGCCCTGCCCCCAAGCTTCCGCACCCACCTTCTCCCCCCCCTTCACCCGCCCTTGCCCACTCTACCTTTCCCCCTACCCCCTGGCACCTTCCCCCTGACCACACTGCGCGCACCAGTGGACGCGAATCCCAGCGGTCCGAAGCGTTGCTGCGCAATCGTCACCACGCGCGCCTGCTCGCACACGCATGGGCGAGACGCAGCTGCGTCGGGGGAGGCGGCCTGCGGCGCGGCGTGGGGCTGCGCGCGCTGCGGTTGTGCGGACGTCTGCGCGGATGGCAGCGCGTCGCAGCGCGCGGGGTGCAGCGCGCAGAAGGGGCGCGCGATGGTGTGCTGGTATGGGCGGTCGAAGCGGTCGACGTCAGGCCTGCGCGCAGACCGGGGGGGCGAGGGGGCGGGGGGACGGGGGTAGAGGGGGCGACGAGAGAAGGGGGCGCGGGGGCGAGAAGGGGGGGAAATACGGGGATGCGATGGGAGAAGCACGGGGAGAAGCACGGGGAGAATGCTGAAAGAGTCAGGGTTGTGAGTGACTGGATGAGCGCGATTACCGCGTCATTCCATCTCCCCGCACAAACCGCTACCCCGCCATCCCGCCATCCCGCCACCCCGCCATCCCGCCATCCCGCCACCCCGCCATCCCGCCACCCCGCCATCCCGACATCCCGTCATTCCATGGTCGCATCGTTTGTGCACCCACCAACAGCTTCTGTCGCGTATCGCGTACTATTCCCCCATCGGTCCGCCCCAACTCACTTGCCCTCGCGCTTCCACACCCACGACCGCAGGAACTGAGACACGTCCGACCGCCCCGCCCCGCTCCCCTCCGCTCCCCCCTCATTCCGCGCCCGCCCTTCCCCCGCCGCATGCCCTGCACCGCGCAATCGCTTCCTGACGCTTCCTCCCTCCGCTTCCGCAGCTTCCCCTACCCGTGCGGTTCTTCCGCCGTCGTGCGCCCGCTCCGCCTCTCCCCCGACCGCATCAAGCCTACCCACTCCCCCGTTCACAGGCGCGACTCCCTTGCGACCTGCGCCGCCGTGCGATCCTAGTACCGCCGGCGAGACGCCATCGCTTGAGGGTACGCGACGTCGCCTGGCTGTGCGACTGTTGCGCGACGGAGTGCGACGGGCGTCAGGAGGAAGGGCGACGGCAGGCGGAGGCATTGGAAGCGATGGGTAGAAGGCCGGGTTCAGTGTGATGGGCTGGAGTGTAGAGGTTTAGGAGGACGTGGGGGAGGGGTTTTGGTAGAAGCAGGGGCGCGATGTTGGACTGGGTTGGGTGAGAGTGGTGGAGAGAGACGCGTTTGGGGCGTGCATTTGCACTAATACGGTATGTAAGTAGTTTTGAGACATCTCATAGCAAACTTAATTGTAAGCCTTGTTAGCCTTCAGAGTTGAGCTCCCTCTTGATTCATAGCTGCTCTTGTCATCAGAACATGAGCGTTGATGTTTCCGCATTCTGTTTTGCCCTAATCAAGTAGCGAATCGTGGATTTAAAGACATCGCAGGTACTCTAGATACACCAATACACTTGATATACTCAGTTGAGTTCACGGTTTGTTCGGTAGCAATATAGCCGAGTCTAAGAGATGAGGAGTCGCAGCAATTGGCCCGAATATTTGAAGGACTTCTCTGTCTCCTCCAAGCAATGGTCCTTCTGCTCCCTTGTCCAGTCCTGCAGGGGGGTACACACACAAGCACGTGCACACACACACAAGCACACACACACAAGCACACACACACAAGCACACACACACAAGCACACACACACAAGCACACACACACAAGCACACACACACAAGCACATACACACAAGCACACACACACAAGCACATGCACACACACACAAGCACACACACACGTGCACATGCTCACACACGCGTGGCCCCGCAACACACACACCCCCACATGCACGCGCACACACCACACACACATACCATTGAGATTAATGATGGCAAGAACATGTGCGTGCTCAAAAGACAATCCATATTTGTACAAGCCTGCCACCCCCACACATGGCGGCAGCAGAGCTGACTCACCCCTTACTCCTGTACACCTCCACCACATGCTTCCTTTCATTTATCCCCTCTCCACCTTCTCACCTCCACATCTCGCCCCGCCTCTCCACCTGCAATGATCTCCTCCCAGCAGTCACACGGTCATTCACTTCCTCTCACCCCTCACCTCCGTTCCACCACCTCATTCAGCCACTCACCTCCGCCACCTCATTGAGCTTCTCTCTGACGGCCGCCAGCAGCTCAGGCAGCTCGCCCTCCCACTGGTAGAACGCCATCTCCCGCCCCTCCAGCAGCATCTCCGACACCTGCATTGCATTGCATGTGGGGGGCATGGGGGGGGTGGGGTGGGAGCGAAGAGGGGAGAGGGAGGGGGTGGGTGGAAGTGAGCGAGGGAAGGAGAGACCTCTGCGTCCCACTGGTAGAACGCCCTCTCTCGCCCCTCCACCAGCATACCCTGCCACCATCCCTAGGCCTTCCAGCAACCTCCTTCCCTCGTGAAATCGCACTGCTTTCAAGTGTGCGTGAACCAATTTTGACATGCCGTGCAGCAAACCTTCAACGCAAGCAACCTACCTTGCGATCAATCATACTCCCTCCTTGTCACCGATCATGCAACCTTACATGTGATCATGCGACCCACCTTGCGACCGATCGTGCGACCCACCTTGCGACCAATCATGCGACCGCCAGCGGAGTGTGCGAAGTAGACGTTGTAGAAATGGCAGATGAAGGCGGGCGTATCGGAGCGCGCCAGCTCAGCAAGGTACTTGGCGTACGAGGACCCCGCCTCGTCGGGCGGCGGGATCTTAAAGCCCTGCGCCTCGAACCACGCGAGGTCCTTCGCCAATGCGTCGCTGCGCTCCAGCCCTGTGTTGAGAAACTTCCGATCTGGGGGAAGAGGAGCGGGGAGCGGGGGGAAGCGGGGAGGGGGAAGTGGGGAGGGGGAAGGGGGGAAGGGAAGAGGGGGAAGTGGGGACGGGAGAGGGGGGAAGGGGGAGGGGGAGAGAAGGAGGAGGATGTCAGGAGGGGAGGGGCAGGGAGGTCTTGGCGGTAAGGTAAGGCACTTGGCGTACGAGGAACCCGCCTCGTCGGGCTGCGGAATCTTAAATCCCTGCCTCAAACCACGCGAGGTCCTTCGCCAATGCGTGGCCGCGCTCCAACCCCGTGTTGAGGAACTTGCGGCATGGGGAGGAGCGAGGGGGGACGAAGGGCGAGAGGCAGGGGGGAGGCGGGGATTTTGATGCGCGTCAAAAGCCAACGCCTCGCCGCGCTCCAGCCCCGTGTTGAGGAACTTGCGGTCTGACCGGGGGAGGGGGGGGTGGAGGAGTAAGCGGCAAGGGGCGAGCGGCGAGGGGGGAAGGGGAGGTGAGTGGTGGAAGGGAAGGCCCAGAAAAGGGACAAGGCAGAAAGGATTGAATTGCGACGGGATGCACAGGTGAGCAACAACTCCATGAGTCGATCGGGAACAACCTGCTGATAGCCGAATAGCACGGTCGTCCATCCGGATCAAGAGCGACCGCTGATTCTAACCGCGCGGAAAACGGACCCAAACCTCGTGAATGTAACGAGGTCATGGCGACCGCTGTCTCGAGCGAGCTATCGCGGATTCTAACCACTTACAGACGGGCAAGTCGCTATCGCGGACGACGGACTCCATGGCGTCGAAGACGGCCTTGCTGTCCACGAGGAACTGCACGAGCCCCTCCTTTGTGGGCTCCCACTTGGCCAGCGGCCGCTCCTTGGTCTCCTCCTCGCCCTCCTTCGCCTGATCTCTGCCATCGCGCGAGTGGGTGGAGAGGGGAAGACGCGTGTTAGGTTGGTTGGCGTGGCCACAGGTGCGGCGGGAAGTCGGAAGCACACGACGGGGTACGTGGGGGCTTACTGACTGCGACTACGCAGCTAGTGTGAGTGTAGCAAACGAAACGCTAATCAGCCGTGCGCGGTGCCCCCAGTAGCCTAAGTGGCTTGCAGTCTAAATCAACGTGCGCTAATCAACCGTGCGACCTACTTGGTGTGGAGCTTCATGGCGCGGATGCGCATCTCCTCGATGAACCCTTTCTTCTCGCCCGGCCGAAACTTCTTCGCCTCCGAAGACGGCGTCTCCGGCGTCGGCACCGCCTCCACCGCCGCGCGCATCGATCCTTCTCGCACTGCGGTTGATCGCGCGAGTGCTGTGCTTCTGAAGCGAACGCGCAGAAGCAGCGGCTGGGCTGCTTCACCCGCGATGCTTGATTGCGCGCTCGATAGCCGCGCGCAGCTGGGCGGGTGAAGCGAGGCGGATGTCAACATGGCAGCGGCTGACATCGTGGCTCAGACGATGCTAGATACGCGAGCAGACGATTCTAAGAGACGCTAGAATGCGATGCGACCCGCTAGCGAGAAATCAGCGCGTATGGTAAGGAGCACGGATCGCTGGGTTGAAAAACTATGGGCTGGGGAGATGGTAGTTGAAGTGACCTGTGTATGCAACGCAAACGCGATTGGTGAAGGTGCTCGCGGCTGCTGAAACTAAGACGTCGGATCGGTTCAGTTGGGTTTGGTAGGCTGAAACTGGGTTGTATCCACTACACCAAAAATCTGTTTCTGGTGGCGGTACAGCGAGTGCTCTCGCTATAGGAACGGCATCCGTTCCATACAGCCCCTCGGGATTTGTCCCTTGGGATTGTACGCGGGACGGAGTGGAACAACAATGGGCGAGGGCCTTCCTTGCCTCGAGGGCATCGAATCCTGTTGAAAACCCTGCCAAGGCTCGCAGCGTGTGGGTTCTGCCCTTTTTCGGACACGTGGCGCTCACTAACTGCTCCTCGAGGAGGCGTCAGCGAACGAATTTGTGCTACTATTGTAGGCCACGTACTCCAGAGAAGAAGCCTCCAATTCTTGGAAAAGGCGAACTACACCCTGATTCTCGCCATAGTGGATTCCGGTTTAGTCAAGACATGAGAGGAAACCACGGTGAAAGGTGGTTAGATGCAAGCTAGAAAAAAAAAACAAGAGGAGACAAAGTCATCCTAGGGTTGCGAAGCTTTCTTTGTAAGTACATTCGTATATTTATACAACATGTAGTGATTGGTGTGGAAGTTAATGGCATTCCTTTTACCTGGTCAAGATTTGAAAAACAGTCAAAAGGAATCGATTTGGTGACCACTCGATTACTTATGGAGTTCCAGTCGGCTGGGCTACGAATGCTGTTACCCTCTGACGTGGAAAAGTATAGAGACAATTAAAATACGACAAAGTTGGCACAACCTAGGGTTTGACATCTCCTTTTCTTCTCTTTCCTCTCGCCAGTGAGTCTCTGTTCCCCACCCACGCCCGCCAGTCACGCTCACCTACCTACCAGTGGTGAGTATATCTCCAAGCTGCAAGTAGAACTAAGGTAGATGTTATATTCTGGACTAAACTTAGCATCGACGACCTTCAATATAGCTAGTTCGTTTTGCTGTTATGTAGAATGTTTAAGTCTCACGCATTCTACCTTGGCAGCTAGATCGTTTTTAGTCCGACTCTATCTCTAGAAAGCATCTCATCATTTCATTTTCCAGTTCTATCCATGTTCACATTCCGTTCAATTCAAATGGTTTTCCTTCTTCCTATGTTTCTTTCCCCCCTTCAGCTCGCCTGCTCCATATGCGCCGTATGCTCCCTCATTCTCATCTCGCCAGTGGAGCTTTTCTTGACATACGCCTTTGAACCACGCTCCAGCTACCTACCACTAAGGTGAGAACCTAGTAAGTAGAACTAAGTTGATTTTGTAAGCTAGATCTAGTATCATTGACGAGAGTTGTTTATCCAAAGGTTATAAGCCCTTTGTAAGGACCAGCCTTTACTTGTAATTCCTACGCGAAACTAAGTTGAGCATAGCTAGCTTCTCTGAGATCTCATGATTGTGAAAGCTCACTTAGTCCTCTTGCAAAGGCAGCGTGCTTCATTCCAAAGCGTGCTTCATTCCAAATGGGTAGTACATCGTTCTCGTCCATAATAATGATACACAATGGGGTGGGTGGTGGGAAAATAGAGCTACAATTAGAAATGAAGAACGTGGGTGAGGCGAATAGCCTCGCGTCCCTCTTTTGTAGACGAAAAGAGGGGTGAGTAGCGTCGCACCGCTTCCTTTGCTGCACTGGCCACGTCCTCGCTTTCACAACA